AAGATTCGAAACCAAATCCGGTTTATATATACAGATAAATAGAAGTAAAAGTAATTTATAAACTTATTTTTTAAAAACAAAAATCATGTTTCCTATGTAGAAAAAAAAAAAACTTGAGAATTCTAAAGAACATACAAAAAAGTAAATATTTGAAATTGAAAAAAATTGAAATCTCTCTTAATTATTTTTTAGTTTTTAAAAACTTGAAAATAAACTCGAAATTTTAAACATTAAACCTAAAAACAAATAATTATTGAACATAATATTAAAAGTTAGATCAACTAGAAAGATATTGAAACTTATCGTACATAATCAAATAAAGGTGAAGCATCTGCATGGAACTCGATGCCTAGGGCAAGTCAAGCTGGCTCGTGCTAATCGTTTAAAAGAAAAAAACACCCAAAAACTTTAACTCCTGTACATAAGAAAGAAGAATATATGCTTACTAAACCCTTAGCTTGTACTACACCTCTCGCTAAAATCAAGCTAATTTAGTTATTCTCGTGTGTATGACCCAACACTTATCATTTATAAATTGAGTTCATACTTATCTAGATGATCTAGATTAAAGTATTAACGTGGAACATTAATGACTAAGCTAATGATTTGACGAGGTTTAACCACTAAACATATGATTTCGTATTTATAAAACTAACTAATGTCTTGTGTTTAAATTTTGAGCTCGAATTCAGATATAACAAGTTAAATTTACACTCCGAACAAGATCTTGTTCCAGAGTTAAGAGGTATCTGTACTCGACTCGATACTAATTGATAGGTATATTCCTGTTGAAGGATATGAATAGATACATGTATTAAAGGGTCACTTGTAGATACTACAAGTATGAATAAATACAAATAGGTTATTCAGTTCATAATTAATTAAGTGCATAAGGAATATATACCAAATTTCTACCTTTTATTATAAATATTTTTTCGAAAAAAAATAAATAAATAGTAAGAGAAAGTTGTAAATTGGTTTCTCTCTCCTAGCTGTAAAATATTTAATTTAATTTCAATTAAAAAACACAGAACGAAAATAAACCGTATTTGGGTTGGTTTCTATGGTGGCCCTAGACCACATCGAAGAGCCGTCATTGAATTCAGATATCTCTCTCTCTCTATATATATGTATTGTTCCCACGCTTTCTTTTTCCCTCTGCCAAGTTTTCCAACTGTGGAGACCGCGTGGACGGCCTTTCGGGCATCTTTCTCCAGCAGCCGAGGCGTGTTGAAACAGATAAGCACCACAAAAACATCTGTTCAGCTCGTTCTGTTTGGAATTAGCGGCTTTTGATTTTGTAAGTTTCTCTCTCTCTGTCTCTCTGTCTCTCTCTCTCTTTCTCTTTGATCTGCTGTTTCCAACTGATGTGTATCGCTTGAAATTTGCTCGGTACGGTTGTTTATTTTTGTTGGATTTTGGTTGAAGTGTTGGTTGTTTTGATTGAATTCGTTGGGGGATTTGGCTGGGTTTAGATCAGAGCTGTGTTCATACAGCCTTCTTGGGATTGAGTGATTGTTGTTGTAGGTATACCAATGTGCCTCGATCTGATTTTAGTGTAAATTTTGAGAATTCGATCTTCTGAAACCTTGCCATCTCGTGAGTTTTGTTTTGTGATTTAGTTGTGGTTGTTTATTTGTTTGATTCTTTACGCTCTTTTGGGTGGGAGGAATTTTAGCGTAGAGGTTTCGAAATGATAGGGTTTGGGATTAATTTAGGAACACGGAGGAAGAGTTTCATTTTTGAACCTCTGTAACTTTCTGCTGTTTAAAATGTTCGAATTTTGGGGTTCTTGTTCACATTAAATTTTACTGGCTTACTGTTGCATCTGAATTTTTGGGATTCTTTCTGGTTGTTTTCATATTTGGTAATTAATAAGTAATTAAATTTGCATCATCGACTTTAGCCAATGGACTGCAATTTACCTGGATATATCCATTTTTCAAGTTGCATTTCAAGAACTCGGTCTGCCTATCTTAATGCTTGAGATTTCTGAAGTTATCAAGTCACAACAAGAAGAGTTATATGAGTGAGTTGTGTTAATTTCATGTTCTAGCGACCTTCAGACGTGGGTTATCTATTTGGATAACTTTTGAGGCACCTTTTGAACTTGCTTGCCTGCTTCTCGGTGGACTAATCAGAATATGGTTTTTTAGATTGCCATTATGATATTGGTGTTTATGTGACAGGATATGTTGTCTTTCTTTACAATACATTGAAAGTAATTGCTTGATGAGCTACTTTTCTTTCGATTAGAATATATCAAATTTATATCAAACTGAGCTTAGCTCAACGGTTATTGACATGAACTCTTTCCCTTGAGGGTCGTAGGTTCTAACCCCATGTTTGAAAATTGCATTCTTTGGCTTATTTCTGCATCATATATTGAAATAAACAACGTTTTCCTGCATTGGGAGTGTTGGTTGCCTCATTCTTACATCTGTTGGTAATGGAAGAACTGGAGAACAGTGCTGAATGGTTACTACTTGGTTGCATTTGTCTTGCATCAGTACAAGAGCCAAGAGATAAAGAATTGTGCTCGTATGAGTACCATTTTTTAGAAAGAAAAAAAGTGCCACTGTTTGGATTTCTTACTTATATATGATGTTTGGAATGTCTTGTTCTTGGTGAAGTCATCATCAACAACATTAGAAACTGAGATCAATTACCCTTCCTCGAAATGTTCTGCTAGCATGCTAAATGAACTACAATCTTGCTGTGAAAAAAGTTAAAAAATCATGTAGTAAGTTATCTAATCCGTGCTTTACATTTCAGGCTGACTGAGGAGGTTGGATCATGCAACATGGTTCTTGACAGTGTCCTGTCTTCTCCTCACAGGAGGTCCCCATCATTCCGAAAGGCCTTTCCTCCAAATGAGTTGGGTAGTTGGTCGACTCTCGTTCAGCGACATCGCTTCCTCCTCACAGCACTTGTCCTCTTGACTTTTCTTTGCACGATTTACCTTTACTTTGCTGTCACCTTAGGCTCTTCCTCTTGCTCTGGACTGACTGGGGCGCAAAAGGCTCAGTGTCAACTGGAGCTTGCAAAGACTTCCATGGCTAAAGGGAAACTGAAAATTCTTTAATACTCGGGTTAGTGCTCTGCAATTTGTGCATTTTGTTTGTAATTCCGAACCATTTGGGTTGAAGATTTAAAAAGAAAAAAAAAAAAAAGAAAGAAAACGAGTTCAAGTTAGTCAGTTTGCCATACAAAGTTGTGTAGTAAAATGCAAGTGAACTCTGTATACATTATTATCTGAGAAATGAATTTCTTAACACAAAGAATGCATTAACCAGTCATTTTGTGTTTGCTGATTAGTGATGTATGTGGTCTTGGGTGCATGAAAATGAACGGTGTTATTCTGCAGAGACGAATTTAATGTTTTATTTGAACAATTCCCTGGTGCCTAAGATGCCTGAAATCTGTTCGTTTGACTCATGAATAGCTCTGTGTACTCATAGTAGCATAATTGTTGGGTAATTGATAATTCATAGTAAATTTTAGGTAGACGGTGATTGTGACTTTTAAACTCATTTCGGTCTAATTTATTTATTATTTACACAACCTTTGTTAACTACTGTTCCCGGGGGTATACAATTTTTCGGGGGTATACAATTTTTAGGAGGCACCCCTTCTCCCGAAGTTACGGGGCTATTTTGCCGAGTTCCTTAGATCAAAAGTGTATCACATGAGAATCCATTATTTATATATTTATATGATTCTTTGATAAAATCAATCAGGAACGTTCAAATAGGTTTGATTCTTTATCGGATCATCCAATTTATTGTAATTCTAGATCAACTTAGATTAGTTTACTGTCTAAAATGTGAGAAAATAAACATATTTTTTTAAAAAATAGAAAAAAAAATTATGGATATCTTATTTTTATTTTTTTAAGTTTATGGTTATTCTTACTCTAATTAGCTTAGTTTGTGCATCAATATATATATATATATAAGAAAATTAGAAATCTTATCAAATATTCATTGTTTGATTCATGGGAGATGAGAGATGCGAATATTAGAAAATAAGGCCTGCGATTTCTGTTCATTCACGTACCCTAGCGGGCGTCACATAATGTTCTGCATTCTCTAGCTATGGATTTTTTTTCAAGTTATTTTAACTTTCGACTCTTATGAATTCTGTTTTGGAGTTCTGTTCCCTAAATTGTTCTAAGCTTTAAATTTTGGAATTTAAAATTTGAAAACACAAAATGAAATGTGACCTTCTGTATTGGTAGAATTTGACGAGCCCTGTAGGATTTTGGGCTAAATTAGATTTTGGTCCAACAACCATACGACCCAATGTTATTGGGCTATCTTAAGTTGCATGATAGATTAATATAAGTAGTTCAAATTTTTTCTGTATATATTTTAATAATTAATTTAAATAATGATGTGACGATTTGTTTTGACAAAAATTTATAATTTGATAGGCACGGAATTAAACTTATAATTAACCATAAATCTATCACTCAACCTCCAACTTCATACCCAATTTAAACCTAATTTAATTAGACTGAAGTGGGACTCTTTGTAAAAAAATTTCTTCATTTTTGTATATATATATTTTTAAAATAATTTTAATGGATAATTTCTATTTTTCAATATATGCGGGCTTCTTTTGTGTTTTAATGTTAAAGATATTAAATCCCTACTAAGATAAATGGGAGTTACAACCAACAATAAGATAAATGGGAGTTACAACCAACAAAAACCCTAATGAACCTAAAAAAAAAGGATGAAGGCCTAGCACAAATTGCTGATTTTTTTGAGGAACTTACTCCGAGTAGTCCTGACAAATGATGATTGAGACTAGATTCGACGTTTTTAAACCATGAAATGCTCGATTCCCATTTCAGTGGTAGGTGTTATCAATATCTTGATCTTCAGAGTTTAGACTGTCGGTGTATCGGCTAAGTTCACGAGTTGGAGATAAGTGGACTCGAACTGCTGACATCCGCCATAGGGTAAACTATCGGCTCTCAGGCCCTCAACTGATTCTACCATAGAGGCCAACGATAGACAATAACTCCCCCCGAACACAGCTTACAACTTTCATCATACGGTGCTCTCCAAAGAGCAACTCTTCTCAAAATCTCAAAAAGGTACTGAGTTGGAATCCAATTCTAACTAAGGATTCTTGTGGTTCCGGAGAATCCAACTACAGGAGAACCAGGAACGGAGAGCTTTCCCCCCTTTTCCGCTCGCCTCTTTGGTCTTAAGAATGTTGGTTTTAAGAATGAGTGATTGCCCTTCTCCGACCCTTACTGTCCAACCGGATAGCGGACAGCTAATGCATTCCACTTATTGAACAGGGTTCTATGGTCGGTCTGCGGCCCTTGGATACTGAAGGCGTCCTTGGGGTGATCTCGTAGTTCCTACGAGGTGGAGATGATGGGGTCGGTCCATGGATTTTCCTTCCTTTTGCCTATATATATATATATTATATATAAATATGGGGTAAAGTCAAAGACAAAGACAAGAAATGTAATCCCTCTCTCCGGTCTCATTCTCATTCTCATTTAACCAACGAAGATAAATCTCTTTCTACTTCTTTTCTCATTCCTCGTTTAAATGAATATTCTTCTCTAGTAAATGAATAATATCTCTATTTGACTGAAATTATTTGTATTTTTATTTAAAATATATTACCAAAAAAAAAAAAGACCTTAACATTACTAATTTTAAACATGTTCCCTAAAATGCTATAGTTTTGAGTTATTTATTTAACTCGTTTTTTGAAAGAATGAAACCACGAGTGGGGTCCACTTCCAAACACAAGAACATAGACAAAGACAGATTCTCAAATGTCCCATTTTGAAAAAACCCCCACTTCCCGCCTTTCCCTCCTTCTCCATCAGACAGTCAAATCCCACTGTTTTATTTATTTATTTATTTATTTATTTATTTCTTTTTTAAGGTTACCGTTGGTTCCTCATGCAAAAACAAAACCTCCAAACAAAATCCAAAGCTTCCACTTTTTCCAATGCCCATTTCAAATTCAAATATTTCCTTTTTCCCCCAAAGCTTCTGACCTTTCCCAATGTCATCTTCCCACAGCTCACTTCAGCTCATAAAAAATTTAAAAAAAAAAATTAAAAATTAAAATTAAAATTAAAGTTTGAATCTTTTCTTAATCACTCACTCTAATTTAAATGTTCTAAAACAAAACTAAATGTTTTAATGGTCTCTTTCTTCCTCGCGTATAAATTCCAGGTTATGAATCCAGAGATAGAGACTAGACCACAAAATACCTTCCCCCATTTTCTCATTCTCTTAACTCTTCCCCTGTTCTTGTCTCAACAGACAAAAGAATGAGTGGTGACAAGAAGACGATCATTCAACGCCAAACTTCCTATAATCCTCTCTATGTTAATCCCCTTACTGACCTCCGGCACAACCGTAGCTGTAGCGACGGCGGATTCCGGCAAGGTAAAGAAAACTTGACACCCAATACGAAGGAGAAACAGAGCGATGAAAATGGAGTGCTCTGCGACAAAGAAAACGCGAATCCGAGTAATGGGTCTTGTGCTAATCCTAAGAAATTTGGGGATTTCAAGTCGTTTTCGACTGGGAAGGCGTTGAAGCCTTCGTCGCTTCATCTGTGTATGCAGATGAATGAACCAGATAAGATTTTTGGGTCTAGGTTGTGGGAGGGGACTGATTCAGAGCACTCGAGTTCGTTGAAGATTTGGGACTTTTCGGATTCTGAAGCTGCTCCAGCTTCTTCCTGGTCCACATTGCCTAACAGGTGGTTTTTCTTATTAGTTCTCTGTTTTTTGAGAACTAAATTAAGCTTACTATCTCACAACCTTGTTGAACAAGACATTGAATACTCATTTGATTACCATTTCAACTACTACCTCACAGCTTCTTTCGAGGATGTTAAGGATGTGATTATGTTTTGTGTTTTGTTTTTTTTCAGGTCGTTGTTGTGTAGGCCATTGCCTGTGGATGTGGGGAGATGTACCTGTGTCATTGTGAAGGAGAAGTCACCGGATGGGCTTCGTGGTGGTGCTTTCTATTCTCTCTATACCAATGTAAGTTTGTCTCTTTCCCATTCTTATACTACTTTGGTTCATGAATTTCTTTACTTTGTTAGTATTTTCAAAATTCAAATCTAGTTCTGAACACTCAAGCAAAATAACGGGTTGTTGTAACATCATAAGCGTACCGCTAGCAGGTATTGTTTGCTTTAGCCTGTTCGTCAGTTTCATGGTTTTAAAATGCATCTTCTAAGGAGAGTTTTACACACACTTATATAGAGCTCAAACTGACGTAAGATTTGATAGTTAGTTTGCTTATGCCAAATCTTCGTTGTTCAGTTTTAGACTTTTTGAGGATGGTTGTGTCTATGTTTCTCTAACCTTGAGATTTTGACTATCTATCTTATAATCAAGGGTGTTTTATGAGAAATTTAGGACTTTCCAACTCAACCCTCCAAGAAAAATAGAACAATAGAAACTCCCAACCCTGCAACTACTTACTTGTTTTTGGTGAACATCTTGGTATCAGGAAGGGAAGGGAAGGCAGGATCGGAAGTTGGCGGTGGCTCGGCATCGACGACGGAACGGGAGGTCAGAGTATAAAATAGCTCAGAGTGCAAGAGGGATATTGTGCAATGCAGATGATAGTTTTGTTGGATCCATGACTACAAACCTTGTTGGTTCGAAATATCATATATGGGATCAGGTTTAATGGAATGTTCAATTGTGTTGAATTGGAAAGAAGTTTGCAGAGTACCTATGATTATGACATGGTTTCTTTTCATGTTCGTTCTCAGGCGAGCCGACTGAAACCCATCCTGAGCCAGTCGAAATCGCTTCTTGCTGCTGTAACGTAGGCCGCCTGTTTTTTCTAATCTCTCTATTTTCTTCCCCTTCCCTATTTCTCGTTTGGAGTAACTGATTTGCCTGTTTTTTCTACAGATTCATGCCTACAATAACCACTTGGACAGGCAGTCATAGAAGCATGAAGGCTTTCATCCCCAAGCATCAAACAATTCAGCTGAAAAACACCAATCAGGTGCTTAAGAACATATGAAAATCTTTTCAACTCTTACAAGGCTTTGTGAGAATTTTGTACCAACAACATATCACATTGGACCCAATAGGGAGGTGAATTGTGAGATTCCACGTTAGTTGGAGAGAGGAACAAAACATTCTTTTACAAGGGTGTGGAAACCTCTCCCTAGCAGACGCGTTTTAAAAATCTTGAGGGAAAGTTCAAAGAGGACAATATCCGCTAGCCGTGGGCTTCAGTGGTTACAAAACATCAATGAAACAATAGTTCAATAAAAGTCATTGAGTTGCTATTAGTATTTCATATTCATATTGTAGGCATTTCGAATACTTCTCGATATTTTTCGAATGTTTTCGAAACTTTTAAAATAGCTGCTTGATTGTATGCTGTAGCAGGTGCAGCACATCGCAGGGCTGCCAAGGGAGTGGGAGGAAGAAAAGACCAAAGTCCACCAACTTGTTTCTAGAGTTCCTCAATACAACAAGGTGAATTGGAAATTGCAATTCAAAACTCTTCAATAAAGACTTCCAGTCTTTTGGGATATTCCACATTGTTTCATTGCTCTTGGTTGTTCTTCAGATTTCTAAGCAATATGAGTTGGACTTCAGAGACAGAGGAAGAGCAGTTTCAGGTCTTATGATCCAAACCTCTGTGAAGAATTTTCAGTTAACTTTAGAGGTACAAATCTACATTCTAGTGAGATAGAAAGAGAATGAATTTCAATTAGAAGAGGCTGAGCTTGTTAGTGGGTTTTTGGCACAGGAAAATGGCAAGCAAACAATTCTCCAACTTGGAAGGATTGGGAAGTCCAAGTATGTGATGGATTATAGGTAAGCAGATCAATTCCTAGTCAGTTTGGAGAAAATAAAACTTGAAAAAAAACCCTTCTTTGTGTTCATTGGAAATAAAACCGACCAAAACCAACTGGATGTCCTATCATTTAGTCGTTGTACTTTCATGCTACTATCTAAAAGGTCTATCGACTTGTCTTAGCTCGTAGACTTGTGGGATGTTGATAAGAATTATGGGGTGTTTTGTGTTTTGGCAGGTATCCATTGACAGGTTACCAAGCATTTTGCATATGCCTGGCTTCCATAGATTCAAAGCTTTGTTGCTCAGTATGATAATCCTTGGCTGCTTCTCAGCTCTTTTGCTGTTCAATCTCTGAACAACCTTCCTTGCAATGCCCTGACTTTCCAAACATCGATGCAACTCTAATGTATTTGTAAATTCTCTTGACTTAGAGTTTCTCTTTTGATGATTAACAATGTTTTGCTTTAATGCTTTTGGTGAATCAAGTTTCTCTTTTGGAGGATCAATTGGCCTAAAAGGAGAATATAGCTTATCTAAACATAAGATTAAATTATACAAAATACGTTCGAACTTTAGGAACTTTAATAATTTGACAAAATCGAACAAATTTATTATACTTACAATCAATTTTCCTGGAGGAGTTGAGCTGGTATACCGGCAAGACTTTCAATTTCCAGCTAACCAAATCACAAACACTCGCCAAGTGTGTAGCCCGGACCCTGCATAATAAAAGGGATGCCTAAAGTCAGCAAGAACTAAGAAGCCTATGTGACCACAAGCTTTAACATAATAATTTACTTGGATTGAATTTCTGAACTATGGGAAAAAGTATTACATCAAATAATTCGAAACTAAATTATTATAGTTTTGATTATTTTAATCTTTTTTTTTTGTCATAATATTCTGAAAAAATAAAGGTTTAAACTATATTCTAACTATTCTTTTTTTATCTTATGCTAAGGATTAAAATAATTATTTTTGTAAAGAAATTATAGACTACGATGATTTTAAAATAGAATCGCTTTAAAAGAAATAAAGTAATTTCGAATAAGTTTTTAAAACTACAAAAATAAATAATAATAACAATAGAAGCAATTTTACATGACTAAGATGATTTTTAAAGAGGGTTTTTGAAATTTCCGATACTTTTCATTCTTACCATGTATTTTATTTATATTTACAAAAATAAAATCTCACCCATGAATCCATGAGATAGACTCTAAGCCCTTCTTATTATAATTTAGAAATGAGTGATTTTTGCTAAACTTCCAACCTCAATTCCGGATGCACCCAAGATTTCTACGGTAGCATGCAGATAATTTCTATCGGGGAAAAAGATTAAACGTTTTCTTACCCCATTCTTGTGAATCAAAGAGAAGGCTTCACAAAAGTAAAAACCAAAATTTCTATAATTTTAATTAATTGCGTACCTCAGGCCATGCCCTCCATTGTCGCCGTTTCTGGTGATCGTCGTAATCCGCCATGGCCATGGCCAGCCCAAGTTATTTCCTCATTTCCATCTCCTTTCTTGATTACACCTAATTAAGCATCGAGTGCGCTATGAAAAACTGATGCTGATGAAGGAAAATACGAGTTTAGGTACCCGAAAATTCCGTCGTCGCTTCCGGCAATGTCGTCAGAATCTTGAGTACTACAATCGAAGTAGGTTTGAATGTCGTCCGGTATACAGCGGCGCGGCCGGACGGATTCCGGCAGCGTCTGTGGAGTCTCAGCGGCGGATGTCCTTTCTAGTATGTGTTTGAATTTTGACGAATGGATTAGCAGCTCCAACGTCGCCGACGATGATGAGGGGAGGCCGCCGTGAGGTTCCGGCGCGGTGGTTGGTTGGTCGGAGCTCGAAGATTGCGACGGAAAGGTAATTTCGAGAAAGGATTTGGGGTCAAATTCTGAGGCAGTGTCGCCGGCGTTTGGACTTGATGGACGGTTATTGTCTGGGATATGCTGTTCCCCTGGACGGAGACATTTGATGTAACGGCTGATATCGAAATTTGTAACGGCGTTAAGGCCACGATGTTCTATTGCCGCCAGGTCGTAAGCTCTAGCAGCTTCTTCTTGCGTAGCTGTAAAGTGAAAATAAAGCAAATAGAAATAACAATAATAATAATAAATTAGATATTAATTTCTAACTTCCCCGGAATAACATGTATGCAAGTTTTGGTGAGAAGACAATGAATTTATGATATCATGTGTCGAAATGAATAAATCTTAAATAGCTGGCCATGCTGCAGTTGAGGTTTGGTGATCTACATGCCAACTACTAGATTTAGTTGCGTATATGGTTTAAATATTTTAGCTTTTTTTAAGGAAAAATAAATAAATTTTTGTTGAATAAAAGTAACATGGATAGATTTATTTACTATACAAAATTAATATACTTTTTAAGAACATAACACATGAACACAATTTGATAATCATCTCTTTAAAATTAAACCTTAGGAAGTCTAGGTGAAAATATTTTTTAAATAAATAAAAGTTTGAAAATGCGATGTCCCAGGTTGGTTGGAAATAAGAACAAATTTAAAGTTTTGAAGGGAAGTCCAAAAGGGAGAGCCCAAAAACGACAATATCTGCTAGAGATGGATCTGGAGCGTTACAAACGGTATCAGAGCCAGGCACCGGACGTTTGCCAGCCTTCTCGCTGTTCCTCGAAGGGGGGGACATGAGACGGTGTGCCAGTAAGGACGCTGGCCCCAAAGAGGGTACATTTGGGGGCGGTTCCACATCGATTGGAGGAAGGAAAGAGTGCCAGCGAAGACGCTGGGCCTCGAAGGGAGGTGGATTGTGAATGTCCCACATTGGTTGGGAGGAGAACAAATCTCCATTTATAAGAGTGTGGAAACTTTCCTCTAGCAAACGCGTCTTAAAGCCTTGAGGGAAAGTTTGGAAGGGAAAAAACTTTCCCACAAGGGAAAAAAACCTTCCCCTAGCATATTCCCTTAGCATTTTCTCCTAGCATACGTCTTTTAAAGTCTATAGGAAAAGTCCGAGAGGAAAAGTCCAAAGATAGTAACTAAATTTTATGTTGGATAAATTACCACAGTTTTCAAACACTTTATTTTATTATATACTTCTTTAAAAGGGCGATGATGTAGCTTTATAATCGGGATGAGAGAACGGTTTTTATTGAAAGGTATAACAAATACACATTATATAGAATATAGAGGCAGTAAAAAAAAATTTATGGGTTTGGACAGTAAAAAAAAAAATAGAATATGAAGGCAGACGATAATATAAATTATTCTATGAAATGAAAAGATTAGATGACATATTGAAACTAACAAACAAAAGAAATAAAACTATTCTTATTCATTCAAAATATTAAAGTGTGATGCGTGAAATAAGACACAAAAATGGTATGATGTGTGATGACAACTCTATAATAATATAATGAAGTGAGGCTGTTGACCACATCATGAAAAACCTATAATTTAAAGAAACAATTGTTTTTTATTTTCCCCCTTTATATCTTTTTAGCTTCTACGTGGTTTTTTCTTTAATTAAACTGTAGATTTAGTCTGTTTTCAACAGTTAATAGTTGGGTTTGTGCAGTAAAAGAGAAAAAATACCGTATGTTCCAAGGTAAAGATATTTGTTGCCGAACACCCTGCCGATTCGAGCTTCCCATCTCCCATTATGATGGTGCCTGAGAAAAAAAAAAAAAAAAAAAAAAAAAAAAAAAAAAAAAAAAAAA